AGAATTATCGACGACGAAAAATGACGCGCCTCGACACGTATATCATTGAAAGTTTACGTTCTCTGCAATTATGCTCCTTGTATTTCGAGTGCTCCTCAATTTCCGGAAAACTCCAAAATTCTGTGTAGGTGCTCGAATTAATCACGCTTCGGATATAACTGTACGACTACGGGTACTTTATGCTACCTGAAATTTTGTTTGAACTTCGTGGAATTTGCCAATTACCGAAAATTACAAAAATTTTATCTAGATACGATGGATCGTGTTCTATGCTTTAATTATTAATACAAACGCGAGGAGTATTCATTTCGAATTTCGCAAAGTTTTCAGATTGTAGAAAACTTCCAAATTCCATATCGGTGCTTGAATCAATGAATCGCAATTCATACGTCAAGAGTGCTTTATCGGTTCTAAAATTTCGCTCCGAATTTCATACGGAATTTGAAATTTATAGAAGGCTAATAAATCAGAGACCAAAATGAAATTGACTTTTTGAAACGTTCCTTCGAATTTCGAGGAATTCTCAGGCACAAATTACCCCGGCATCTAGTATGTCCGCTTAAACGTTTACAAATGAGCAAAAATAAATGGTGGCAGCTTACCTCTGAAAATGGAAGGTGTAGCCAGGTGCTCGTCGCAGCTCGGTATCGATGCAACGGCGAAGTAGAAGTAGAAGAAGAAGTAGAAATATAAGTAAAAGTAGAAGAGGAAAAGCGGTAAACGGAGAATTGCGGAGAATGGAGTAAGGAGAAACGACGGAGGGAAGCTGGAAACGTGTGATCGGCTGTTGGAATGGAAATATCGAATGGAAAAGAGAGCCCAAGGAGAGGGGAGAAGACGAGGACGCATATGTAGGAACCTGAACGGGTATCGGGTAGGGATGTGGGTGAGGCTACAACAAAACAAAACACGATGAATGTCCCGATGTGCAAGCTGCAAGCACAACAATGTCAGGAAGATCGATGGTTAGTCTTTGTCGAGTTGCCGTGCCGCGAATTACCTGGATAGATAGCTCCGATAACGTGTATTCCGATAAATTTGCCAAGCGATATTTAATACAGGCTGTTTCGAAAGTGATTGAAACGTTTTGGAAACTATTCCTTCCCTCTGTGGAACAAGGATCGTTATTTCTGGAGTCGCATGTGGTACGTCGAAATGAGATTCTTCCGATGTCTCTTTTAATAATTAATTGGTTTGTAATTTTAATCATCATTTTTGAAACACCCTGTACTCTATCCGATTATTATCTTTGAAAACGTTTTCCTGTCGTTTTATGATGCATCGCGTGCAACTCTCTATCCAGACAATTCATCGCTAGATTTATTAGAAATTAGCGGTAATATCAGTCGATAAAAAACGAACAGAGACTAGAATTTAGCTGTACGGAAGTAAAACGACGCGTTTTATGTTTGATCGTTGAGATTTCTAAAAGAGATTAGAGAGTTAATTTACCTTGACAGTGCCGCTAGATGCGCTAGAAGCGGGCGAGTGTCACGTCCTCGGCGAACGAAGAGAATTTATCCATATCTTGGGTTAGCAAGCAGAACAGAAACACGATTTCATTAATTCCTAGAGGAAACTATCCTTCCTACTCGTTCGATCTCGATTGATATAGGACTCTAATGATCAATGAAATTCGTTAAATAGCAGTGGTATGAAATTTTAGAAATCTATAACGAAAGGGTTAAAAGCGGGAACGGTCCGGCCTCGTACTACAACGGCGGTCGTCTTACGGGCTCTTCAGGGCTCTCGAGCCTCGAGAAGAGTTAGCACGGGGTCGAGAAACGGTCATAGTTCTATTTCCGTCGCTCGTGAATCATTCTTGCTTCACCTATCTCTCTTAATCCTTCTATACCAACTTCGTTGAAAGATCTTGCCTGCCTGACTTCTTTCCTACGTCCGCGTCGATTTCGCAAAGTTCGCGCCACGTTGTCCGGTTAATTAGAAAATCTGACCATCGAATCGTCGGGTAAACGGACCAATTCCCTTCCCAGACCTCTCAAATATTGACCATCAATTTCTGCGTAGGTGAAGTTGTTACGACTCGTGGGAATTGCTATAACAGCGTGTACCGACTGTTGTCAGAACAGCCTGTTAAAATGTAACAAGCTTTCAGTGGTCGCGCATCGACAAAGCATTCCAACGAAGAGTAACTCGCTATGCGGTCCTTTCCTACATTCCTAACATGAAACAACTTTGACCAACTGCATGAAACTCGGCGCAACGATTATTATTAATTTCGACTATGGACTAGTAGAGAATTAAACGGGACCATCGGTACCTAAGCTTCCGCGGAGTAATCGAGACATTTCGGTTGGGTTAAAATTTCGGGAAATTTTCGAGGCTCCGAATGTCGAAGATGGAGATCTCGGTTTGTGTAACTGGACGGGGAGGATGCATCCGAGTGCATAACGGGACGATAGCCTGGTAATACGTATCAGACTACATTTCACGGTTGATCGAAGCCCAGCCTCGGCGCCATAGACAATTTCCCAAAGGGTTCCCAGACCGATATAATGGGGTGGCCAAGGTATATACCGTGGCTACGTAACTCTATCGCATTACCGTTCACCCGACCGACTCTACGTTAGATGCTTGCTCCTTCTACGTCCTGAATTCGTCAAATGGGTAAAATTAAATTCCACGATCCGTCTTTGATTATTCTTCGTATTGAAGTTGATTGAATCACGGATACGCGCGTCTTATGGCCCTAGTATAAATTTCATCTATATTTCATCAAAGGAACGATAACGGTGGGCGGTCTCGGTGCAGCCGTTATAGTTTAAGACGTCGAACCGGGTCGTAACGCGAATTCATTGTCTATTAGAGGGTCGTGACGTCCGTTCGCTGGTTCGTGTAAACATTGCGTAGGGTACTCTCGAGGCTGGTGGATGAAGGAGAAATCCTGCGACCGCGTCTCCATCCCCCGAAGTCTTATACCCTTATATCCGTCCGCTATTCCTCCAGGGGACATACGTCCTTATACCACCTTCGTAAGCTTTAATGAAAGCCATAAAGCGTCGTACGGATCGTGCTTGCGGTGCCTTTAGCCCGGCTATACTGGTTGCGCGATGGAATGCGGTTCTAGGCTATGGAGCTTGAAGGTCGAGAATACGCTTGGTCGTGAGACAGAGAGGTCGATTAACAATTGAGGCGACCAAGCGGATAACGAAGATGACGCGTAGCTAACCAAGACCGTGAATCTTCTGCACATTCGGTTTAAAGTTCAAGCTTTATCGGGGTCGTTCAAACGCTTGCTCTATAATAAAGACGCCATAGCGATGCTAGGAATAATGTATCATTAGCGATGGATAGAATTGATCAGTACTTTCGAACGAAAACATGTCAATTCCGAATATTTCATGGTACTCGAACTTGTTAATTTTCAGTCAATCATTATTTTTCATGTACCGATGATCGTTCGAGGAATTATCGTTGTTTCGTCGTCACTGTCGATACGTTTTCTCTCTCTCTATTTGTGGATTTTAATTTACTGACCTTCCATCGTGGAAGCTTTAATTCGTTCCTATTGTTCCACCGGATCCATCATCGTTCTGCGTTTTATTATATATCTGTACCGACGCGAGCATTGTTGTAACCACTCTTTTCCCGTTCTCGTTGAGTGGAGTGCAATAATTTGTTCGAATTCCTCCTACCTGCTTCCATGAATTCGTACAGTTACATTTTTAAGCGAACGTTCGTACTTACCCGGAAACGATATTTTATTGAAATTCCAGAAATAAAAATAGATTTGTTTATCCATTGCATCAGGGGGTGCAAAATAGCGTTCGCGCGGATCTTTTATCATCCATTCGAAGGAATTCGACGAAAGATAACGTTATATCACGATCTCGTGCGGGGAAAAGAAACCCCGGGACATCTTTTGTCCGCAAACCGTATCGATAAGACCCGGTTAGTTCGAAACTGAACGTGGAAAAGCCGCGAAACAACGAGCGGTAACGCGAACGAAAAAAGAAGGGGGCGAAAAAAGGAAACTTCGTCGAGAGAGACTGTTAAAGCGCAATTACGCGGGCAGAACGGCGAAAAAAGGAGCAACAAGTAGCGGAAAAAAATATCGCTGTGCTACGTGTCGTAGCGAAAAAACGCGAAGCTGCCCGAGGGGTGGTTGTAATTGTTCGCGAACGGGTACGGGGATGGGCCAGAGCCGAAACGAAATAATTCTCGACCGCGAAAACAAAGGGGTGGGCCAGGGCTGGCAGCGAATTCCGAAATACGAGTAGGAAGTACCGTTGGCTCCCGGACAATCGTGGAAAGCAAGGCAAATGGGATGTAAATCTTGCTTCAGCTTTGCATTATGTCATTCCGGCTGGGAGATGAAACGATCGTAAAGCGTAGGCGGGAATAACGCGACGCGGCTCGACGCGGGATTATGAGAGGAATCGGCGGCGTCGGCCTTTACGAGCGACGTCCTCGCGTGAAAATCCGGCTACAGCTAGCCGGTTATGCGAACATTCGACGAGCAACCGAACCGTTATGAGGCTGGATCGTTCAACCGACTATGATGATACGCGAACGATACGACAGTATCTCTTAATCGATTCCTCGTTGATACTCCTACTCCTCCGGAACATACACGATTCACCTTTTCCCTCCCCGTACATCCTGTACAGGGTGATTCAGAAAGAGAGCGAAAGGCTAATAAATAAGGGCTAAAAATCGTTGCAAGTTTACTCGAGCGTTCAGTAACTTTGTTATTTGCATAAACATGCTGGACGCATGAAACGCTTAAAAGCCAACAGCTTTAAAAGGACCTCGGCTAACGTTGCTTTGACAGTAAACGCCGGAGAAGCGGTCATTGAAAGAGGTAACTCTTAAATCAGTTCAAAGAAATGATCCGCCACTGAACGGTTCACAAGCTGCAAAAACGTTTGATCCAACCAGTAATCCTGACTAACAGCGGAAAAATATCCACGTATGTATCGAACAACTGAATGAGAATCGTCTGTACTCCGCGCAGAGTAACGAAAAAGCTGGGGTTGAAAAAAAAAAATAAAAAAGGAAAAGCTTCAGAGAAACTGTTGAAAACAGAGAATACACCTCGAAAATTTCACGCAGTTCGCAATGGTATCGGATTTTTCAACGAGTCTGGCGTTCTTTGCGAACATCAACGCGAGTCCACGCGGTTGTAAAAATTCTCTACAACCGTTGGAAAAAAAAGCCGACTTCAGCAAGCAACGAACTCGACGCGTTTGTACAGAGGCCAGCGGCAAAAGTCGCGATTTGAAAAATTCGCGAATCGATGGAAAGTTTTCGGGCTGGTGGACGCAACCTGTTACAAAATGGAACGGACGCGTTCTGTTTCCTCGTCGATAATAATTCATCGAGGATGACCGATCGATGATTTCGAAGCGACCAACGGTTGATTTTTAATTCGGCTTTCAAAAGATCCACAGGGAACCGGTTAAATATTGTTCCGTCGAGCAAACAACAGCGGGCAGTCGGTCTGGAAATTGTGCTTTTTTTGTTTTCTTTTTTAAAACGTTGCATCTCGTATTTTGGAAAAGGGTTGAACGCTGTAGGGGATAAATTTTTGAATCGCCTTAAGACGTCGAGGCGATTGATTAGTTGACGATTCGGATTCGGAATCGTTGCGTTTGCAGAATCAAACTCGGACCTAATTTGACAGTGAACACGAGTAGACAAGGGTGCACAATGGAAACGTTGGCACAAGCGTGACAGGCAATAGGAACGTGTCGCCGGGTTAATACAACGAGACTAATGAGAGGGAGTACGCATCGGGATGCGCATTCGAGGTCTCGTTTACGATCGTTCGCGAATTCGCCTCTAATTAAGGCGTTAACGAAGAGACGCCTCGGGGTGACCGATCGCTTTCCCCGCACAGTTGCTGACTTTCTCGCTCTGGCATCAGGGCGAAGCCACGGCAGCCCTGGGATATGGGCTCTCCCGAGAAGGGTTGGCCGATTGTCGGCCGAGAAATTAATCCTACGGGCGATGAACGATGACTGGGAAACACGCCTATGCACGCGCATCCGCTATTGTGCGCCGTCGGCTTGCCGTTAATTAAATCATACCTAAATAGGAGGGAAGCTTTGTTTTCACTCGACGAAATTTCCAGGGGATAAACCGACCGCGACATAGTTTGATATGCTGTAGAGAAGAGGGAGCCTCCGGTACGGACCTTCTGTTCGTGAATATTATCCTTTCGAAAATTGAAAAGAAACCAGCGATACCCTGAGGAGGAGGAAGGACTCGATCGTCTATTCGTCCATCATCGAACACGGTTAAATTTCGATTACCGGGCAGGCATCGTCTGGGGAAGGGTGACGAACGACAGACGCAACGAGAAGAGCAATCAATTCCCTTTTACCGATTTACCGCGACAATGCCACCACCCGTTTGCAACAGTTCCAGCCAACCCTCTGTCCTCGGCCCTTTTCTCTGTCTGTTCGCGGATACACGAGCGAAACGAGCCGGTAGGATGGGTCGGTGCATTGAAAATTCTCTGTGATTCGGCGCAATTGATTAGTCCATGGCTCGGTCGCGTATTTATGCAGGCCACCTAGTCGTTACCGGTCGTGATTTCAGTTTGCATACCGCCTGGGCTAATGCGCCTGCAAACGCGACGCGAATCTGTCGAATTATTTCGTTCGTGACCACCGGGAATAACCGGGGAGTTTCGTTTAACCCTATCTTCATCAGATATCACGATCTTCCGCTTTAAAGATATCAAACAATATTACTTCATTGTTCGTTTCTATAATCGTCGCGTTAAAAATGACTGGAAGCTCCATTCTGTTGTCTCGTACCTCGAGTCCGCCTCGTGAATACGAGAATAAAAGAAAAGATACGATACGATTTCAGGCGTTCGCTTAAGCGATTGAAAATAACGACGCGATTTCGGGCTTCTCGCGTGGCCGCGTATTATAACGGCCAGATAAGGTAAAGATATCTCGGGAATATTTGGAATCCAATTTAAAGGGGAGCTACCGTTTCGTCGCTATTGTCAGAAGAATATCCTATCCACCCTTACTGTTTTTCCCAATAAAACTGAACTTCGTTTCCTCGAGTGAGACCAGCTTCCTGAAAATCTTTCTGTTGTACCACTGAACAGCTCTCTCTTTTTCTATCGAACCCTGCTCGATTTTAAACCATGATTTCTACAAATCGTTTCTGGTTATCCTGACAACCCTTAGATCGCGTATCGGAAGCATTGTTATTTGTATCCTCGATTCGTTGCTTCTCATCAGATTTCTACGGTCTATATAAAACTAAAATCTGTTTGAAAATTGTATTAGTCGCTCGTGTACGCGTCGGTGATGGAATAATTTTATTGGGAAAATTCAAACGTCAATGTCCTGTCCTCCTTCCCAAAGGAACGTCCAACATGGACGAAGCTGGAAACCGGCTACGTGATTTCCAGCCTTCACGTCCTGTACACGCGATCACGCTTTGACGCGTGAAACGTGCTCTCGGCCTTTGTGCGCGTCTAATTGGGATCTTAGGAGATCCGCAAACGAGGTGATTTGCATCACGAGCGACAGTTTGTGGCTGACAATAATAACTCGATAATTCATCGACACCGTTCGCGTCTTCTAATAGATAGTGCTCGGAATATCTGTTTTCTAAGCGAATAGAAACCGACGAGTCTGATTTATTTTTCGTTGGTCATTTACGATGCGTGTCTCTTAGCGCTGAAAGAACAATCACCGAGGGATAATTAATGAGCGTTCTTCGCAATTTTCCATGAACCGCTCGTTTTGTTTTCTCCCCGGTTTACCTGTTCATTATTTTCCTACCGCGTGATGGATCCTTTCTCGATAATTAGCCTCGCGATTAATCATTGCGCTGGCTGATTCATCAACCACAAAGTTTCTAAAAGTTTCCACTTGATCCAATCGAACTATTTTTTCCATCTCTGTTGGCGGACGAAATAATTTCAATTTTCTTTTGATTTCCATCCGGACGCGGGAGACTGACGGTCGCGTAAAGAACCATTTCTCTTTCGGTTATGTGCATAAGACAGGTCCGATACAAGTTCGAACGCGAAGGTGTTTCTCAGAAAAATCGACGATGACGATGAATGTCGCGGTGGAAAATAAAATTCGCCAGAAACACGGCGGACGATAAAACTTGCGAACGAGGGAATATAAAAGCCAACCGCAAGCAATTTACTGTAAAATTACTAGTTTTCAAATTATAGTTAGACCTCAAAAAAAACAGTAAATTATGTAATCTTGTCTAAGGACGAGGCTGACATAAGGGGCGACCGAAATATTCCCACGTGTTTGACACGAACGTCAGCCAACCTGTTACTCCGGCGAAAATCCGTTTAAAAGTACGATAATTCATGGATAAGTTGGCCAGGCCAACGAACGATAAATTAATGTACAACGCCGGTCTGGCAGCGGCTCGAAAATAGAAACGATTTACTGGGTTACCCTTCGTGAAATATAATCGAGCGCTCGCGGCAGACGCGGTCGGTTTAAATTTAATGCGAACCCGCTTAAAAGAAGCTTTCCCCCTGCTTCGAGAATAATCGCGTTACGTCGATTCGGTCAATTTTCATAGCGAAATACCTGTCACCAAGAATCGTGTCTTTCATTTCTGTCGCAAACGCCGAGTCTCAAGATTTTCCGTTTTTGATAAATTTCCATCGATAAGTAGTTGCGAGCAGTGACCTTCCAATCTCGAAGAAAAGTCGTGTTTCAGACGCGAAGTTTGATTAAGAGAACCAGTTACGAGGATCGATGATCCCATATACTTGGGGTTTTACGGGTTTCTTCCTTTTACGAGAGATCCACTCGCGAAATATCTCCTTTCTAACTCGACGAAGACACCCTTCAACGAATTTTTTCGTTTCTCCTCTCTTTTTTTTCTTCCCCTGTCCGATTCTATCGCGCCTCTTTGACAAAATACCTGAAACAAGAACGCAACGTTGTTTCGCGTTCCTTGTCTTTTCTTTTCCAAGGAAAACAGACGTGGAAGTGTTTTCACAGGAGGAAAGAAAAGCGACTCGTCTGGAAACGACTCGGTGGTATGCAATAAGAGACGCGAAACTCTTTCGCCAGCTATGAAAATTTCAATTGGCTTTCTTTGAGGCTCCTCTTTTGTCGCGACACGATTCCGTTTCTTCGTTTCACGCGATACAGAGCCGAATCTGTCTATGAACTTTCCCGGAGAAGAATCTTTTGTCTCGAATCGGCCGTTTCGCGTGCATTTACCTTCCCATTGTCTCGCTACGAGCTTCACCAGCTTTCCATTGTCGGAAACTTTGTGATCCTAGAGTGTTAATCGATGCGATCCTCGTGCATTTGGCTTTTGCTTGTTTGCGAATTCGTACATATACTTTCCAAGTACAGTTTGCGTTAGGATGTATTCGTATACCTACCTGGTCACACGGATTAATTCGAATTCGAATATTTTGGCAAATCTACCCGTGACTGTCCTCCGTCCAACGCGAAATAAAAATAAGCGGAACGAAAATAAAATATATAGAAGAAAGAAAAGAAAGAGAAATGCGAAAGAAAGGTGAACGCAAGATTAAAAAACAAAGACGGTTGCCGAGATGGAGATGACGTTTAATCGTAAATCAATAAAATTAATGAATTAAATAAATAAATTAAAAATGTTTATACACATATTTATATATATAATATATATATAATATAATATAAAACATAAATAGGGTCCCGAGACTGGTGGAGCACAGCGCGCATCCTACACGCCCCATCCCTTCCGTTTTACCCATCTTTTCTTCGTTTTTTACTTCCCTCTTTTCGCGAAGCAGTAACGTCGAGAATTCCGGAAGAGATCGATTCTGCCCGAAATATCGTCGTTCCACTTTTATTCGGTGGGTGACAGAACGAAAAAGAAACAACATAAACGCGAGGGAACCATTAAAAAAAAAAAAATCATCGAACAAATTTTTCTGTATTTTGGGAATTTTTTTTTGTCCAATCGTCTCGTTCGGAAAATTCTCGACCATTTTTCTAATCGTCTCGATATTTTTTGTTCGCTCTTTCATTTCTTTCACTCGTTCATTCTCTCTCTCTCTCTCTCTTACTCTCAATCTTTCTTTCTTTCTCTCTTCTTTAACTATCTTAAGTCTCTGCTTTAGCTAGTCTAACGCGTATTACATTATCATATTTTACATAAAATCGTGTTTGCCTAGCGGTCTCTCCTCTTTTCTCCTGTTCTACCCCTCTGCTATCTCTCTTTTTTTCTTGCATCGTCCGGCACTTCGAGCAGCCAATTTTCTCGTTTCCCTCACTGTGTTATTTTTACATTCGTAAAGAGGTTACCGTTCCCCTTTTATCGATCGTCGCTGGAAAATCCCGGGAAAGCGAAGAAGAAAACGAACGATAATTTCGCCGAGCGACGAGTGAATTACGATATTTATTCGTGCCGTGCCGCATAATCGATCCGACCGAACCGTTCTCGAATTGTCTCCGATGCGTAAATATACCGAGTGAATTTCTCAACCGGCACGTGGAAATCGTACATCCCATCGTTCCTCCGCGAACATCTCGTTCCCCGATCCTGAGACGCGCCAATCTTTTTCCACCATTTCTCCCCCGACTTTACGCTTCATATTTTCCGCCAACGATCGACGAAAGATTTCTGAAACCCCTTGACAAGAACGACGATGCTATTTATTCTGATGGAAAGGAAGTTACAGTTGTTAAACAGACGATTTTCAGGACGTTTCTCGTCGAGACCCTAGGCTCTTTGGTATTGTTCTCCTACGGAGACTCTGAAAAGTGCGACCTTCGAACACTCTTCTGCCTGCTTCTTTCTTATTTTTTTTTTTCTCTCGATCTATTTTTCTCTCTATATATAGGTGGTTCGCGATCGTTCGAGGTCAAGCACCACTTTTGAATCACGAGCGTCACTCGAACGCTCTTTTCTACCCTCCCGATATGAAATCGAAGGGGTTCGGGAGTGGCAAAGAATCCGCCCATAACTCTTCACCTTACACACACTTCACCACTATCATCATTCTCCTCTTTTTTGTTTCCCTTGCCAAGATACGTGCGCAAGAACCTATACCGAAGCGTATCTTCTCGTTCGTTGTCTCGGGAATAAAGTTTTTTTTCACAGAGACGGTTAATACTGTTTCGGACTTCCGGCTGTAAAACGTGCCCAGTAGGAAAGTATTCCTGACGTTGGTTTCTGCGGAGATCGAAAGATGCGCCGATATCGTTCAAAGTATCGTAATACTTGCGATGATACGATAGTTTGATACTGTGAAAGTATGACGGGATAATGATACGATGATAATGGGATACGATACTGTGATATCAGTGCGTCTCAGAATCTTCGATGAAGTTAATTGAAACGCTATCGAAACTATAGAAATATTTTTCTACCGATGATTTACACTCGGGAAGCCTTAAACAATATTAGCTAACGAAAAGGCTCGAGAAAGAAACGCGAGGCACGTTGTCGTAACGTTTAAAAGAGAAGCAACGATAGACGATCGAAGAATAGGAGGAATTAAATGAAGAAGATAGAAGAACAAGTCTAAGTAAACTCGTCAGGAAGAAATAGAAGAAGAAAGAAGAAGGTACGAATGCCCGGTACCAAAAAATTCATTTGGAACCTGTCCCTACGAAATACGGAGGACTAATGCCCGACAACAATGGTTCCTCGAATATTACAGTTCGCTCGCGAGATTCGCTCCCGTTTGTTTAATTATCCCCTGGTTAAAGTTTCTCCTCGTTACTCGCTTACAAAACTGCGTTACATCGTTAGCAGTTAATCTATTTCACGCCTCCTGATACGTATTATGCGGTCGCGCGTTGGCCCTCTTCGCGACATTGTTTCTCGCGAGTTCGAGAGGCTCTGTTCGTTTGATCGTAATTCAACCGAATCCACCGTGTTCAACGATCGAAATACGGTGTGTTCGGTGTTAGAAAGGGCCCCGCGCGATTATCGCTAGCAGTAGTACGAGGTCGAGAGTCCCAGCTTGCAGGAAAATGGCGCCCTACGCCTGTTGTACACACTTCCGGTGCTGATGACATCCTTCGTCTCGCACCGTAGACCCGTGAAACCTTCCGCGCATCTGTAAAACAAGAAAAATTCAATCTTTATTTAGGAAAAGGTTTATTAATAAATGATGGTAATGTCGGGTGGTGCCATTTTTAGTGGAACGAACGGAGACAACTCGTCGTGTCCAAGACGTTTATTTGGAAAAATAATGTTATGCCGAGCTGGTTGTATTTATAGCACGGTTAACTAACCGAGGCGAGACGTACGAAGACGTCTGGTAAGAGACTGTTAGAATCATCGGTGTAAAATCCAAAATCTCCGCGACGTTTCGAAACGATTTCACGCGAGAGTTTCTTCGCGTCGTTACCTTAATTAGAAAACTTGGTAATTCTACTGTTGCAAGAAAATGACACTTCGCCGTCATCTGGTGCGTTAAAGGAAACTTTTCGGTTACCCCCCCACAATGGAAATATGTGCGGAATGGTGAAATGGTAACGAGCGTACTATTCGAAGAGGAGTTCGTTAAGCGACGTTTATCCTGTTGAATGAAGAAATATAAAATTCCATTAGGTGAAATCAAAGTTTCACCGGTGAATCGAAAGTTTTTCGATTACCTGGACGGTGGCTTGAAAAGATTCCCGCCGCGAGGAAAAAAAGGGATTCCATCCACGAAGAAATTTCCGGAACAAATGGTACGCGCGAGGGAACACTGGAGTCGTAGATGTTCTATTGATACGGTCCTGAGGGAAATCAAGAGGAGCACCTTTCCGTGACCCCATCGTGCGATAAAGCATAGTTTCGTCAACGACGAATTTCGAACGTCTGAATATCGTATGGTATTTTCTTTTTGTTTTTATTTCGGGAAATTGCGATTTTCGCAACGGTCGCTTACGACAGCTTCGTCGATCAGCGAGCTTCTTTTTCTTTTTTATTCGAACGATAGGTATTTTAGCGAATTCACGCAAAATACGCGATATATATATATACTTGCCAATAGATTCGGCACGTTGGACGAACCTGAAACAGTACCAGAGGTATTGCAATTTACTGTACCATTCACTTGAACCCATTAACGCTCACACGGTAACTTCGTTCGCTTCGAACGCGTAATTGGCTTTCCATTGAGATTTATCGTAATCATGCGTGTTTACCGGCTCGAGTTACTCTGCTCTTTTACGCGCAAACGTCGAATAAATCCGGCTCGAATAGACGATTCCGAGCGAGATCGTATAACGATCTAACTCTAAAAGGAGAACACCGTAATATAGTAAACGCTATTCTGACAAGCGAAATTTTAATTGATTCCATGAGCCTTAACGAATTGATGTTGTTAAATCGTCGACCGTTTCTATCGGTAAAAATTTCACGATTAATTCTCGTTATTTTGCTTGTTTCGACGAGACTCATCTGTGATTTGGCAGTAAAAATCATCCGCGAATTTCGTGAAATTACGATTCGCTGTTCGTACGGCGCGTTCCAGTTAAAATCAACGGAATAATTCGAGTACCGAATGACGTGGCGTTAATTAATATTTCCGACCGGTGACGTATAGGCCACCGTGTAAACAAAAACGTGGTCCATGGCGATCGTTAAAATCTGATTTTTCTGGATGACAGGTTTTACGGGAACAGGATTTCTCGGTTGCTCGTAAACTCGTGATAGTACGGTGTACCCTGGACCCATAACGTTCCTGTGACGAGCGTGTTACAGGTGTGATATTTGTACGCGCGTTTACGTGGTCCCGTAAAAAATAAAAGTACGCAGTGAATAGAAATTGCTCGTTAATTCGTTGTCGTAGGGGTACGCGAGTAATTTATGTTTCTACGAGTAGATACCGATGGTGATCTTCACTTTTCTTCCTAGAACTTTTATTATTTTTAACCTCTTTGATAACCACGGTTTTTTCCTTTCTTTTTTATCTAATGGTTCTACATCGAAACCCTTTTCGTAGCGAGTTGACGAAAGTGTCAAACTTCCCGGGAATAAAAAAGTTGGCGAGTCGAGTATCAAAGCAGAGTCGCTTTAAGAACGTCGTCTTCTATTAAGAGAAAAATTACTTGCGAACTTTCTCACAAGTCCGTTCATTCTTTCTCGCTGCCGCCTGTGAAAAGGGTGATTTTTGTTTTCAGACCCATCACCGGGTGAACTCACCCCTTTTCTCCTTTGAATAATTAGCGAATCGAGGTAGAGCTTAAGAGAAATCGTAAAACGTAGCGTCTTGTTAATATCCGATCTTTTCTTTGTTACGAAGTTTCGTAGCAATTAACGTACCATCAATTACAATCAAAGAATTCTCTGAAGAGTCGTGTAAAATGATAAAAAAGGAAAAAAGAAATTCATTTTCAAAAGTGTTCTTGTCGCATAGAAATGAATTCGTAGGAAGAGGGTACTTTTTGAGCTGGTCAAGGCGGTCTAAACCCTTAACCACAATTTCAGGGATGGTCTTTAGAGGCAGAGGGTTGGCTTCGTATATTACGATCGCAAAATTAAAAGTACCTTTTTATGCGGTGGTCGTGGACGACTGTGGCGTAGAGATGAGAGGGTTAGAAAGTCGATGTTCACTGTGTGCAACGAGAAATAGGGAAGGGATGAAAGAGAGGATGGTGGTTTTCCTCCGGTATTAATTCCCATATATGCCACAGCTCAGTCTGTAACTACAGTAGAAACATACCATCCTGTATACGGCAGGCAGCTCGAAAGAAATTTTTTTTTTTTTTCGCGGTTTACTTAATTTAATAACGTTCCCACGAAACGCAATTTCAAAGATAACACTTTAAAAGGGAGCGGGGGTTGCTCGTTCTCTCTTTCTCGCGTTCAACCACACCCTTTCCCCCCGTTTCGTTTTCTCTCCTTCTCGTTTTTATCTTCCTTCTTCCATCATCCTTTTTATCAGCGTCCGTCTCGTTTCCCTTCTGCATCCGGTTTCCCTCGTTTCTCGGTCCGTTGTTTCTTTTTGAAATTATTCGAGTGTACACGGGGATGCATTTGTATAATACACTACTGGTCGAAAGTGTTTGCGTCCCTGTGCTAGTGTCGCGAATGCGACAAGCACTCGGGCAGAAATTTATCCATCACGCGGTATCGCGTTCTCGATGATACATTGTGTTTTATTTGAAAAGTAGGAATTGCTACTCTTCACCCTTCGCATGGATAGCTTTCTACGAGTAAAACTGGGTTACTTACTCGGTCGTATGGCGGTTGCATCCATCGAGGCTCATATGTATGTATCCAACCCTCTTGGTGTACCAACAGAGCTCGAACAAAGTTACCAGAAACCACCCCCTTCCACGCCTTCCCTTACCGACACGGACAGCTTCTATTCACCCCCTTGCGAGCCATTCACTTACAAACTGGCTTGTATAAATATAACGACACTGTTGCGATACGTCTGTCGCTTGTCGCGACAAGAAGATTGTGTTTGCTTAAACTGTTGTTATTAATTCATGAAGATACAACCGGCTGGCTACTCGAACTTCCCTCGTTCCCGATTACATTCGAGCGATTCATTTCTCGATTTGATAAACGACGAAAGCCGGAACTATCGATTGGTTATCCTTAATCCGGTGTCTTTCACTAGCCGATCTCCCACCCTTCTTCGAATGATATATTACGAGCGCAGGGTTAATCGCAGTCGAAGCAATTAGCGGTGAGTTTCTACGGTCGACAGCTGTCCCTGTGCGGTGGAAATTTCAGGCCACGGAGAGGGATCTCTGGTCAGGAATTATAATCACATTAATAGAAGCTTCGGATCAGATTGCCGTGTATCGGATCGCGATGAAACGTTTAGTTAGGGCTTGTTAGCTTTCAACTTACTACTTCAGACATTTCGAACCTTCTATTATCTTCGATAGAAACGATTGGATTTCCTTTCAAACGAGTTATCAGTGAAATTGAATGGAGTATAACTGTCTGTTGTAATTAAGTGTCTGAAGAGTATTCGAAGAATACGGATATCAGAGAAAATTACTAGCGCAATGATAGGTTTCTAGATAGTGCAACCCAGGTAGTAACCCACCCCTATCTGACACGAAGGCACGATTTACGTCTCGCGTTTATGTCACGGAGAAGTTGGTGAAATAGTCGGACGTCGACGAATAGTTGCCGGCCGTTATAAGTAGATTTATGCGGAACCATAACCTTTGGACGTGGTGTACGGAGGTATCGGTGAATGAAGAGAAGTCGGATAAGAGACAGACAGAGAAAGAGAGGTAGTTGACTGTTGGGGTCACAGGGGAAAAGGCCGATGTCTCGGAGGGTGCCAGCTGCTGGAACAGGTTACTGTCTGGGAAATTGGGACGTCGGCTAGAGCTGTTCATCCTCGATCATTTTCTCAACGTTCCGTCGTTGTCTTTTCGTAGCAAATAGGAGGAAAGTGATCCGGATGCTAGCAGAGATCTCCGACATGTGACTCTATAGGTCCGGAAGTTTCAGCTGAAATTTGCTCGAACGATGATTCCCGCATTTGGATCCGACGATGAAGAGTCGAGAGTGAAATTTAGTTTGAATATTTGATAGAGAAATTTGAAGTGAAAAACAAATCTCATTATCCGAATGGTAATTAATGCGGTATAATTAAATTTGAAACAGTCGCTGCGCGTGTAGAATTTTATTCACAAATTCGTTGGAGCATCTTTCGGAACATCGTTCGAACGTTTCTGTTCCTCCCTCGATCTTTCGCTAATTAATTAGAGAAGCGTTTAATTAAGCGAAACGGTCGAATTTCGCGCGATGAAACTACATTCAAGAATCGGTGCAAGCAATTGGTCGGAAGCAGTATGTGTTCCGTTGCTCGAATTAATTTGCTGTCCGAACAGCGCAGCGGTCGCACCACAGCTCTCACCTCTTCCTCCACCTATCTTCTTCTTCTTCCCTCTAAACTGTTTGGCTCGCAACAACTCGTCGAATAACCGTGTCACAAATTAGGCACGGTGAATTAAATCGGCATCGATTGCCGCTCGTTTCACGCGAACGCCCGTAATTATTAATAATTATTTAATCGCCGTTCGGCGATGACCCGAATCAAACGAGCGTACGGTATTTCGCGGATTCGCTGTGCTGAACAAATTTGCGGTC